GACTGAAGTGAGTAGGTAATGAAGGATAATTCAGTTCAGTGATTATGCAATGTCCACAAAAGCGAGATATTAATTTTCTTGTCCCAAACAGAGGCCGTGGTTGGCTGCCCTTCCTGCTACCTGTCCTACGCCCGCCAGAGACTCCCTGACGAGATCGCTGTCGCCGCTCAGAACTGTTACAAGGTAAGCTGCTCTTTCCCACATGGAACAAAAGACGATTACACGAATGTCTTGAGGAACATAACTTATATTGTGAAATGTATATCAAAAATCTTATTCTATCATCACTTGTGACAGGTTGCCCACGGTAACTTCAGCGGCGAGATTTCTCCCGCCATGATCCTGGACTCGGGCTGCGAGTGGGTCATCCTGGGTCACCCTGAGCGAAGGACCATCTTCAAGGAGTCAGACCAACTCATCGCCGAGAAGGTCGCGCACGCGCAGCAGACTGGCATCAAGGTCAGCCTTTTCTTCTTTTTTATTCTAAGAGGAGAATGTTTTAAAAGGACTCGAATGGGATAGACATGGAGATTTGCTTTTCTAGATATGCATGAATTATTTAATTCATCTTAATGTGCAATTGCAGATAATCGCGTGTCTGTGCGAGACGTCGGAGGACCGCGAGGAGGGTCGCACGGACGACGTCCTGTTCGGCCAGATGAAGTCCCTCGCCGCCAGCATCAGCGACTGGTCGCGTGTGGTGATCGCCTTCGAGGCTCTGTGGGCCAGCAATACCGGCCCTGGCCACAGCTGCGCAGGTACAGGAGGCCTTGGCCAAGCTGCGACACTGGCTGCGCGCCAACGTGAGCGACAAGGTGGCCAACAGCACCAGAATCCTGTACGCAGGTTCCGTTTCGTCGAGCAACTGTCGAGAGCTGGCTCAGCTGGAGGACCTGGACGGCTTCCTGGTGGGGAGCGCGGCCCTCAGACCCGACATCGTCGACATCATCAACGCCCGACGACCCGACGTGTCCAGCCTCATTGCGCACTTCGACCGACCCGACGGCCGACGCGCCTGACGCGGGCGGCAGTGCGCTCTTTTTGCCTGGGTTTTGTACAGATATTTATGGACGAATGTAAATATGGGCGTTATCATCCTATGTATTCTCATGTATGTTTTGTTATTCACCCTTTTAACCGCTAAGGATTTTTATTTTATTTTACTTTAATGTGCTCTCTTTCAAATAAAGTATTTTGAGATATACACGGTCCTTTTATATTTTCTAAAACCTGTGTGAAGGAGCCCATACATGGAAATGTATACATATACATATATGTATACATACATACACACATATAATAAATATATATATATATAAACAACGCATATGTATCCAAATTTATATATGTATATATATTATATATACGTATGTATACGTGTGTGTGCGTTGCCTTTGTGGGTTATTAATTGACCTTTAGTAAACAAAGGATATTTTCCTTTGAGTAGAGCAAATAACTGAAAGATATTCAATTATTTTTTTTTTTGATGCTCACATATTTTACCGTTAAGTGGGATAGACGGCATTAGATATATGGAGGAATTGTATTATTAATCTATTACAGACCAGGATCTCCTTTCAAGATGGAATTAAGGAGTTACTAAGCTTGGTTATTGTGAAACATTACAGGGAGGTAAAAGCTCAATCATAAAGAAGAGCAAGATGCACTGCACGAGTATGTATGAAATGGAAATTGATGAACAATAAAAATGAAAAGTGTCCGAAACACAAAGAGGTATTTTAAAAGTATTTTTCATTGTTCTAGTTATTTGTTGTATTGCTTTTTTTTTTTTTTTTTAAATGTGATCTGAATTATTTGTGACTTTTTAGGCCAAGAAACATAGATTGCAAATGCATTCGCGTTTTCTTCACGAACTGAGAATTACGTTGATCCCTTGTTATAGATTCTGATCCCAAGTTGATGATTGATGTCTCTTCTTTTATTTCATCGTGTAGTTGCATCTAAAAAACGGTCAATCGAGTTGACGTGTTGTCAATCAAACTGAACTTTTTTTTTAATCCACAAAACCTAAATTCCCTAAACCGGGGAAGGCAATCTCAAAACCCTTCGAGTGCCATTTTTTCCCTTCAGCTACCATCTTGAGGGCCAATAAACGTTCATACTTGGCTTCCAAGGATTACGTTACTAAAACTACTATTACATACTTAAAGTTATTCTACTTCTCAGATTTCAAATGGTAATACCAACAGTAACAAATTGTATATGACGTTATTTTCCTTCATGACAATCATAATTTCACAGGCTAATACTCCTTGTCACCGCGGCCACACAAGGTCGTCCAGGGGACACAAACAGCCCGCGGACCATGAGTAGCG